AACAAAATAGCTTCCGTGCCGCACACAAACTTGGTGGTGTTTTCCGACACTGCGGGCCCCTCATTCACATACACAACTATACCACCAACCTGACTATGTTCTCTGTCCATCCGATAAATTTAGTATCTGGACGGGGCTATTTCGCTATCGCTAATATTCCCGGGCTCCTGACACTTCAAGTGTCGTGGATAGGAAGGTTGCTGATTGATGCCCGCTCTCGGTTCACGCAGTTCGTCGCGTTGTGTGTGTGTGCTGTGTGGAGTGGCGGACTGGTGGGCTGGGATCGGGCTGTATCAGCACCTTCCACGGCCCTTTCACGCAAGTGAGCGACACGCCGTTCAACCCCCGTTGTGTGAAATCCTGGTGTTTGTGTGTGTATGGGGGGCCAGGTCGTGCTGTGGCGCGCGCAGTCACGGTCAGTCGACCGTGGCAGCCACCGCGCCCATCCACCACTCCAGTTTGCCGACCGGCTCGGACGGCGCACTTTTTCCTCACTATAAACAATCTGACGCGCTTGAAGCTATCACAGTGCGCTAAAAGCCGTGGCTTGGAAGGTTGCCAACTGACGGGGTACCTTGGACCTCCTCCTTAACGGGAGGCGGTCTGAGAGTCAGGCTGCAATGGCTCCTTTTTAATGTGGCCTTTGTGGCACTCCCACCACAGTGTGGGATCCGAGCCAGGCGTTGGCGGCACGCCTAGGTGCGACTTCGGCCGTGCCAGCCTCCAAATCTGTTGTGTTGGTTGAAATCCTGGTTATTGTTGTGTGGACCAGGGGGTGTGGTGGAACGCCAAGGTGAGGATCCGTCCGAGCCATCCACCTGCGGCCTCCCTCGTCTCCGGTCTTCTTGACTCTGTCTTGACACCGGGCTCGGGCGAGGGAGGTGGAGAGAGTGTAGGTAGATGCAGCGCAAGTCTTCTGGCACTATAAACCCCTGCGCAAGTCATCGTCCCTGCTGCAACCTGCTGTGGGGCACACGGTGGGCATCATCGAAATCGATGGTCAAGCTGTCAATATTCCCGGACAGCCAGGTCTCGGTTACTGCTAAAACATCAGGAGACAGCTCGACAAGGCAAAGTTTTAGCGCGTCTAGTTTCCATATGAGGCTTTGGAAAGTCCTGTACAAGCAGCTCAGTTTTTCACCGGCCGAATTTCCCGTTGCATTTAGAATAGAATAGAATAGGTTTATTGTAGCGCCCTTGGGCACTGTCAGTTCCCTTTGAACTCAGGAAAAAAACCTAAAACAAACTCGTCAATTTCAACTGCACTCTGACTTCATTTGCTTCGGGTGTCTGGTTAGCCAAAAGAGCGCGAATTGAGTGTTTGTTTCAAGTTAAAAAAAACCTCAGTTCTAAGGGGAAATAATAACAAAATTTTCAAAAAATAACGATATGTACAATATAAAAATTGAAGTTTGCAGTTTGGTAGTTTTCGGGGGCATGAATAATATGTCCTTCATGGCAACTGAAGAACTTTGATATCGGCCTGACCTTGAAATTATTTTCCTGTTAGGTAAATTTCGGTGTGCTCTTGTAGTGTCAGACTGGGGTGAAGTGGGCGGGAAGTCAAAAAAGAAGACAAAACGGCGATCTGTGGTGCTGTGCTTCAGACGAGTCTTTTTCTTCTTCACTTTACAAACAAGAAGGAGTGTCCAAACGGAGTTGAGGAGACGACTCCAATGAATGTAGTACCGACCTCAGAACCACAGCAGTGAAGCGCTTAATAATTCCTTTTGACCGCCGTTATCCCCCATCTACATTGAGACTATACGCCTCCTGTTCATTTTGACCCTATTTCACTATATAAATCTCTTGTGGACAGACCGTTCTCCTTCTACTGAGTTTCACGCTAGCTTGAGTCTCTGATTGAAGAATGAGTAACGTTGAAGATCCATGCAATTCAGAGTCGATATACGGTACTGAACTCAAGGCAGCCCTCGAAGGAGTAACAGACTCAAATATCATTGCAGTAGAGAAGACAGGACAGGTGAGTGGTCCGTCTACTACACTCTAGTTGCTGGTTGTCAGTCTATCTGGACAGCTGTAAGGGGGCGGTCGCACAGTTCCTACGTATTTTTCTGGAGGCTTACCATCGTTGTCTGGACTAAGAGCTGGAAAAGATGAATATATATCAGGAGTAAGAAGCATTCAATGGTAAGTCACAATCAAAACTGTCAAAATACTATTGAATCATGTATCATATGGTTCTTGTTAATGTGAAATTATAGGAGTAGTGGTCGACTGTTTACTATGACCTAATATAGTTCTATATATGTTTAATATGGCTTTAATATAGACATACGCACGACTAATATGCAGGGTTTTATCGAAGGGTATATTTTTATT